AAGCATTCATTTTAACATTCGTGAATCAATATTTCCGAAAATCTGAATCCATTTCAATTTATTTCAATCCATTCTCGTTTGCTGAGTATGCATTTATTACTTTTCTACATTCATTATCTTCGTTTATAAGATTTCATATAATGATTTTCGTTATTTAAATTACCTTTTGACTTTATTTCCAATACATACATATATGCATATATACATATATGCATTTTATTATTTTTTTTAGTAATCTCAACTCTTTCTTTTATCCGATATTTGAATATTAAACAATAGGTCTGTTTTAAAACATTCAGATATTTCAGAATTTTCTTGAATTATATTACTACATTTACACATTACTGCATTATATTTACTATTCCAACTATATCAGATTGTAAATAGAGATAAATTATTTTATTATATTTATCATTTAATATATTAGCTGAATCTTTCTATAATGCTCAATTATCATAGCCCATGTTAACTATCCACTATTAAATAAATATATGCAATTTATACATACTTTCACATATTGTTATTTCATGTTCCGTCATTATTATTGGACTCATTTAATATAATAATTATTTCATTCAATATAATAATTATTTTCTTACAGCTATTTTAATTTATTTTAATAAACTGTCGAGAGTGATACTCCCTTTCCCCCTTAATCATTTTCTCGATCAGTTTCACCTATTTCGACAAATTAAAGGTATGTTCGCCACTTCGTCAACCAATCTAACATTACTTTAACTTTCATGTTTCATGACTATTACGTTAACATCGAGACATTAATTAAATTACCTAAGCTCAATTATTATCGAGAAGAGGCTCCGTAAGTTTCTGCTTGACCTACGGACTCATTTCCGTCATCTCTAACTAAATATAACAGTTGTAATCCTAATTTGAATTTACCGGGAAATGTCGCTTGTCCGTGCTATCTCACCCTAGCTCAGCGTTCTCATCCGGGACGTAACAATCTATTACTATCGTGTCACGTCTCAGGGTGATTCACGATTTCGAATTAACCTGTGACTGAACTCGCGATTTCGCGCGCTAGAGGAAAAAGTGGCCGAGGTTGTTTACTCTACTGATTAGCTAGACGCGAACGCTGGATATAACGATTATAATGGATTCGGAGTCGCTTCACGGTTGCTCTTCTGTCGCTTCCAAGAATACGAAGAATCTTTCTAATACTCTGGGGCACTCGGAGCAAGTTGTAACCGCGCGAAGCGTAATTAATATCAAGAAGCGTGCGTTACAGGTCTCGAGCCGTTCGGGATAACCCAAATGGATGTAATGATGCAGAATCCCGTAATAATTCTCCTTTTCGAAAAGCGATAATGCGGTGTAACACATTCGATGCATTTAATTATTCCGCTCTCTTTATGTTAGTGGAATAAGGTGGGCTCACAACGGCCGCTACGTACTCACGCGATGTACGGATCAATGAATAAAAGTCGAGCATCGATAGAGGTGCGCGAACGCGAGAGGATAGGACATGTTCTATCGTTCATTTATAGCGAGTTTCGATTGATTAGCGAGATGTAGAGATTTCATTACCTTGAGATACCTCGGATGGATATTCTGGGATGTTTCCAAATGCCAGCGAAGATGTGCGTCTAGGCTTCTACTGCTCCTTGGAAAGATTTGGCTGTCGATTTTAGTCACACTAAAGGATGCGCGCGATCATCTTTTATTAATATTATCTTTTATTAATATTCGATAGCGGTCATTATTATTAGCGTTAGAATGAATTAATTAAGAGTATGGAGATGTCCATGGAATACACGCTCTAATAAGATTAATTGAATGTATATTTAATAATAATTCTTACGCTGATTAAACTTTTAATAACTAATTTTATACTAGGATAGCTTTACTTCTAAGTTAACATAGAGATTATCTCTTATAATTAGGACTTATGATTTAGAAATTGGATTGACGTTTTGAGTTAAGACCGAGATTGAAATTCCTAGAAATTGAAATTGCGACGATATCGCATTCGGTTTAGCATTATGTTCGCCCACGATATTTTTAGTAAGTTAGAGTGGAAAGAGATTTCAATTTCCGCGCGTCCACCCTGTACGACATGCGCTACTTCTTTGCTCTCTCTCTCCTAGCTTTTGCCCCGTGGACATTCCTAAAACTCTTTCCATAATCGTATTGCTAGTTCGCTCGTGGTGAGAGAGATATCAAGTGCGGTCTAAATGGCTCGACGCGTTCGTGTCTTGTGATTTTATTAGAAATTATTCTTGGACAAAATTAAAGTTATTGCGGACGTGACACAGAATAACGCTGATTAGTTACTTCTATGACGCATTCTCTATTCCGCAGTCATTTTCCGATCGTGATTTCACCCTTAGGGGTTTTATTACAAGAACAATGGCTTAGTTTCCACCGAGGGTTTAATCCGAATCAGAATGTAAGGACCAACCAACTACAGTCGAGTATTTCCCTGTTACAGTCGAACGACAGGGGAATGCTCGACTGTAGTTGGTTGATTCTTACATTCTGATCTGGATTAAACCTTCGGTGGAAATTAGATCAATGCACTCGCTGTCCTGCAACATCAAATGCAGAATAGCGCTGAGTGGTTATTTCAATGACACATTCTCTATTCCGCAGTCCTATTCCGCACTATGTGATTTCACTCTTATTCCTGCTTTTGAGCTCAGCGCCATTGAGTCCTATACAATATTATTGGTTCATCTAAATAGTATCCGCGGTTTTTTGTCACTAGATGTGTGTTGATGGTCATATATCTAGTGACAAAGTACCGCGGATACTTTTTAGATGACTCGATATAAGTCTGGCGTCCCATGGAGCAGAAATTTACAGCGAAACAAAACAACGCGACTAATCACAACTCTTCAGTCATTATTCTACTTTTTTTTCTAAGATTGTGATTGGTCTCTCTGTTTCGTTGTAAATTTCCGCTCCATGGGACGCCGATGCTTTTATATATAACGTAACTTGTGTCAATCAATCAAATCGTATCAAATTGTATCAGCTACTACATTATTCTAATTGAGACGATTTGATTGGCTGACGCAGTTACGCTTACGTAAGTTACGCTTCATGTAAAAGCAGCCTAAGGCTGGGTTCACACTGACGGAAAAGCGGAAAGCAGAAAAGCGGAAGCCAATCTGAACTCGTAGTAGTAATAGGCGGTACATTTCGCTTATCTGCTTCTATCTTTCCGCGAGTTCTGATTAGCTTCCGCTTTCCGTTTTATTGTCAAGGTGTGAACCTGGCCTAAGAGAAGCGCAAATGGATTTCGCTTATTGAATAGCTGATAGCGGCCAAATCAAAATCGAGAATATCAGGCTGGTAACTGGATATCAATCATGAAACTTTATCTCTAGAATAGAAAATAAAAAATGAAAATTTTAACTTTTGAAATATTAATAAAGATTAATAAAGAAATTTTTCACTTTTCCCTTTTCATCCTAGAAAAGAAGTTTCAAGCGAAGAGCACAGACTCTTGCATAAAGTATAATTCATAGTTCATAAGGGAATCAACCAATCGAAAATTTTCTTTTCTATGGAATGGGAGGAAAGGAAAAATTCTGATTAGTTGATTCGTTTATGCACTATGCGTTATGCAAAAGGTTCTGCTACGATCTTTATTCCGAATAGCGCTAATTGGTTGTTTCAATGACGCATTCTCTATTTCGCAGCCCTTTTCTGCATCTTTCATTCTTATAGCTCTGGTGCGATTTCGTCACGCGCGACATCCAATGAGTGTGCAGCTTTACTGATGATTTTCTAAAGGTATACTCTCATTGAATATCGCGTGTCGCGCGCGATGAACATCGCGCTAGTGAGTCGGAGGCGGAAGTTAGTGCGATGTTCAATCAACGTTTCGCTTGCTCGGAAGTAATAGATATATAATTTCTACCGCATGACAAAAGTTCAACTCAATCCAATTTTTACCGCGCGGCGGAAGTAATATTACATTATTTCTAGAAATTTTACATAGTGAATCCGACTTAAGAACATAGAATTATTGGTTAGTGCGATAACTTCCGTCTCTCGGCAAGCGTTGCCGTATTCTGTGTACAGGAATCCTAAGGGTGAAATCACACGGTGTGGAAAATGACTGCGGTATAGAGAATGCGTCATTGAAACTACCAATCAGCGCTATTCCGCACTTTTTCATCACGTAAGTTTTGTGTGCTATGTTCACATGATGCCTCAAAGATGTATCCAGCATGAATATCATTTAAAAACTACTAACTTCGTGTTAATAATTTGCTTATTAAAATGAAATATAATTTTTCAAATTATACAAATAATATTCACTGTTGTAATACTTAATGTTTTACAATTAATATTTACAATCTCATAACAATTTTTTGAACTACTTTAACGCATTTACTATCATTTTTCCGCATCGTGTGAACATAGCACACAAACTGGCGTGATGGAAAAATGCAAAAAAGGGCACATTGAAATCGCATGTAAAACCGGTTCTACATTAGTTGCAAGCTGATTGTTGCGCAAGTTTTTTGCGACAGCCAATATGAAGCGTTGATTTCAAAATGCAAACTTCATATTGTTGCAATAAACTTGCGATCGGCTTGCAACTAATCGACTTAATGTATCATTGTTTTTTTTATCTTGGTATCTATATTTATGTACTCAAATTTGTCATTTTGCTTCATTCGTTTCGACATTACGCAATTCCATCATATCAATCAGCATCAAATTATTTTAACTTCTCAAACTACAACGGTTTATTACAAGAATAATGACGCACTCGCTATAATTTCCGCAATATCAAATGCAGAATATCGCTGAGTAGTTGTTTCAATGACGCATTCTTTATTCCGCACTGTGTGATTTTATCCTAAAAGTGAAATCACACAATGCGGAAAAGTGCTGCTTAATTAAGGCCACTACGGTTATGGAAATACAGAATTATAAACCAGCCCTTATTCCTGTTCCTATTATTTGTTTTATTGTGCGCAGGACCTTATGTTTTCTAGAGTATTTTGTATGTTCTAATACGGAGAGTAAGATAACCGCTTTATAGCTGTTTATAGCTTCTTATTCTTTCATTCTGTATGTGCATTTAATGCATCATGCGAGGAATAAATAATTGGATAAAAAGTACGTATCGATCAATGATGCAGAATTTATGCGCAAAGACTTTTAAATAAGCGAGTAAGTCTCTTTGCATTTTTATATTTCCAAGTATAGTTATAATATTAAATATTATTGTTTTGATATATATAATCTTCATTATTCTGAAAATTATTTTGTTTATATACATATATTTGTATTATATACTTTTATTTCACATTTATTGGTATTTTGGTTACATCAGCCTGTATATTATCGAGATAATAAAGTGAAACATTATGCTTTAAAAAAGAACTTTGGTAACATTAATCTAGCATTAAAATGTTTGTCAATTTATTAAAACAATAAAAACAGATTATTTCACATAAATTCAGGATTAATGATTGTGTTAGCTAATGTTTGCAGATATTTCTAAAATAATTGTGATAAATAAAGGTATTTAATAGTGAATTTGATTGGATGCATTCAGCACTGATGCGCATTAAAGCTGTGGTAAAGAAATTGATTGACATATAAAAATATGTTCAACGTAAATAGAAAAATGGATTAAATCATGAAATCCTCAATAAATTTTATTGTGCTGTTAGCTAAAATCTTCTATAATTTGAAATATTTGCATTTTGTACAGATTAAATCATTCTTCAACGGCTATATACACTGGTGTGCAGTAGTATATTGCGCTACAATAGTAATGCGCTATAAGTCAGATTTTATGTTTTGTACATTGAGGTGAAATATGCCTTTTACCTAATATTTTCTTAATAAATCTTTTAAATATTTAATTTCTATATTTATAAATTAAGTTTTTTTAATTATATATTTTTGTATATATTTTCAGGAAATATTAATTTATATTGTGCCACAATAAATAAATAATATTTTGTATTAAAATGTTTCCTAATATCCAGAAGAAGGACTATAGAGTCCTGGATTTAATACGTCAAAGAGAAATACAAGTGAGTTAAATAATTCTTGAATATTTTTAAGTATGTTTACTAATGTTTTACAATTGTATATAATTATGGATGTGTACAATGTAATATAGGACTCAGTAACACACATAATTTTACAAAAACTACATGTTACTGAAAATTTGATATCACGTCTGGGTTTAGAAAAAGAATTAAATGGTCATTCGGGATGTGTCAATTGTTTAGAATGGAATGAAACTGGGCAGTATGTATTTATTATCTATGTTTTTATTTAGGTATGATTTAATCAATGACTATGTATGAAATATATACATATTTTTTTTGTGCAGAGTGCTTGCATCAGCATCAGATGACAAAGATATTATATTGTGGGATCCTTTTCGTTATGAAAAAAAATTGGTACTTCATTCAGGCCATCGCGGAAATATTTTCTCTGTAAAAGTAAGTTAATATCAATCTATTTCTTCTGCATCGTTTATTGATTTATAACTTTATCAAATGTAATATCTTGTAAATATGGATTAGATGTCAAATAATTTTCAAGGCTTGTGTACATTATTACAAAAAAATATAATAGATTTTTTTAGAATTAAGCTTCTTACATTTTTGTAAGACTATGATTATTCAAAGCATTAAATTATGTTTGAGATTTCGCTTAAGATTTATTTTGATAATTGTACTTTGCTTTTAGTTTATGCCAAAATCAAATGACAGTGTACTGGTGTCAGGTGCAGCCGATTGTAGAATTCGAGTTCATGATCTTACACTCTCCGAACCAATATTTACGTGTAAATGTCACAAACAACGTATAAAGCGCATCGCTACCGTTCCCAGTATACCATTTTTATTTTGGAGCGCTGGAGAAGATGGTCTCTTTTTGCAATATGACATTCGTACACCGCATGTTTGCAAAAGTAATGATCACAGTGTACTTGTGAATCTGGTTTATCATACGGGTTGTTATGCAGAGGGCAAGTGCATTGCTGTAAACCCGAGGAAACCTGAACTAATAGCCATCGGTGCTAATGACGCTTACATCCGAATGTATGATCGACGAATGATAAAACTCTCGCAGGTGAGATTCCATTTATTCTTGATCGACTTTAACACTTAACAATAAATAATCATAAATAAAAAGCACTTTATCACTTTTTATGATTATTTACTGACTTAGAAGGGCACAGTTTTTGTCCATCTTAACAAATGCTTTTAATGCAATCCCATCATTTTGTTTTAACCAAATTGTCTTATTTATAAATGACACATAATAAAAATTAACATATCATTTCTTGCTTCTCGACTTACTATTCAATATAGCTATAGTGACTCGGAAATCTTAATGCTAATAACTTTTACATTATAACATTCTGGCCATGAAATTATAGGTTCCTCCATCTCCTTCTATACATGATAATTCAAATGGGGGAAATATTAGCACGTATCGAGCAGGTAAAGGTGATCCAGATGACAATATTCCACTGGGTAGTGCACAATATTTCATTGCAGGTTTGTTCCTACAGAGATAGCATAGTCTACTTCAGTTGCTATCTACTTTAGTTCTATTTTCCTTTTCAATATTACACAATCGTTTTAACCGAAAAATTATTCGATCTAATATTGTAGGTCATCTCCGCTCTCGTGATGGTACCAGGAGCATTACAACCACCTATTTGACATTCAGCGACGATGGAAATGAGTTACTCGTGAATATGGGAGGAGAACAAATTTATTTATTTGACATCAACGATTCGAACAGTTCGAAAAAAATTTTCGGTTCATCCTGGAGATCTCCAGGTAAGTAATGCTATTGTTTTTGTTGTATGTATATATAGATGTATGTATAATTAGAATTACTATTCTAATGAATGATAATCCACTTTTTAATAGGATCAATTGAGCAAGATCAAAGACTTGATGAATATTATATGAAACAGAATGATGTAGACGAAACAGGAGATTTTGTAGATAAAAATGTAAAGATATTGCCACCACATGTTGAAGAAATAAAGCGCCTTGTAAGTTTGTACAGTCATTCCTTATGTATATATTAAACAAAAAAATTAATATTTAGCATAAATAAATATTTTTCGTAATAAAATTTTATTTTATTTTTTTTTATACTAGCCCTCGAATGTTGAATTTATCTCTAAACATTTTTTATCTATTTTTATGAGTTTATATTTTTTTGAATTATGGATTTCATGTTTGATGATAGTTTGTAATATATATTCCGTTATATTTAAATATAAAAATATTTTAATTTTTTGATATTAGTAGAATATTTAATATAATGCTTTTTATGGTCAACAGGCAAATGAAGGCTTTGAGCAGCAGAAATATTCATTAGCAATTAATTTGTATAATAAAGCAATTTCAAACTGTCCAACTGCAGCAGTATTGTTTGCTAATCGAGCAGCTGCTTATATGAAACGCGCTTGGTAACTATTCTCGCTCATAACAGTATGTATAAGATAAATAATTGTTAAATTATTATATGTACGTGTATATAAGTGTACATAATTATGATATTCTTAGGGATGGTGATATTTATGCTGCTTTACGAGATTGTAAGACAACATTACTTCTTGATCCAGAACATGTAAAAGCTCATTTTAGGTAAACTTAACATATATTGGTTATAATTGAAGAATTTGAATATTCAACTACCATAGATAGTTCAACCATAACTGTATGAAATGTATTTTTACAATATTAATTACAATTTATATTAAAAAAAACGCATTTATTCATATTATTTGAAGTGGTTTAATACATCAATATATTCTCAATATACGAGTATATTTCAATATGAAATTTTATATTTTAATAGATAAATATACACTAATGAAATTTATTAATATAATTCATTGTTTGTACATGTGTGTAGATTGGCACGTTGCCTATTTGATTTAAATCGATCAATTGAAGCAGACAAGGTGCTCAAGAGTTTTAAACAAAAATTTCCAGAATATGCATCTAATTCAGCATGTAGAGCGTTAAAGATGGACATAAAGGAAGCTATCGATGCCGGTAACACTATTTAATTTTATCATTTTTCTATATAAAAATACTTTATAATATACGTGTATAGGATGCTTACTTTAATTAATTTCAATCAGTTTAAAAAAAAATCAATATTTTACGAGATATTTATTATTTTATTTTTCTGGCAAATTTGAACACAAAATATAAAATATCTCGTAAATTATTATTTTTTTTTTATTACCATATCTTAATATTTTTATGCATAGAATAATAAGAATCACTTAATGTAAAATTTGCGCATCTTTTTTGAAAACCAACAATGTGTTTCCTTTACGCCAATTGAGCGTAAAAATAATTCACCAATTGAACTATCTCATTATTCTACATAAAAATAATATACAGTTACCAAAAAATAATTTACAAAATATTTTAAATTTTATGTCAAAATTTGTCACAATAAAAATCCACATCTCTTTTAACATGTAATTACTAAAACAGATAACAGCTAATTATTTAAGTTAATATTGCATAAATCATTATTTTAATTATATTTACAATTTTAATGTACATAACATTCTCAGCTTCAATACAGGATATGCTAATAGGAACAAGCTTAACATCTTGTGGTATTACTGAACTCACATAAATTCACACACATAATAGGAACAAACACAGTAATATTTAATAATGTAATGGAAACAGTTACCTTATTATTCGTTATATGTCATATTTTTTTCTGCAAAGTGTATGCAGATAACGCATAATAAGAAATCATAAATATAATATTGACTTATCTGAATATTTATATAATCGAAGCAATCATAAAATGTTGACTATTTAATTATTGTTGAATCCACTTAATAATTCTATAATAAAAATGTATAGACTTAGATAAGTATTTTATCATTGCTGATACTTATTATATTGTTATTATTTAAAAAATTAATTTTAACGCATTTTATCTACTAGGGAAAGCAGAAATTTACAGCGAAACAAAACAACGCGACTAATCACAACTCTTCAGTCATTATTCTACTTTTTTTTCTAAGATTGTGATTGGTCTCTCTGTTTCGTTGTAAATTTCCGCTCCATGGGACGCCGATGCTTTTATATATAACGTAACTTGTGTCAATCAATCAAATCGTATCAAATTGTATCAGCTACTACATTATTCTAATTGAGACGATTTGATTGGCTGACGCAGTTACGCTTACGTAAGTTACGCTTCATGTAAAAGCAGCCTAAGGCTGGGTTCACACTGACGGAAAAGCGGAAAGCAGAAAAGCGGAAGCCAATCTGAACTCGTAGTAGTAATAGGCGGTACATTTCGCTTATCTGCTTCTATCTTTCCGCGAGTTCTGATTAGCTTCCGCTTTCCGTTTTATTGTCAAGGTGTGAACCTGGCCTAAGAGAAGCGCAAATGGATTTCGCTTATTGAATAGCTGATAGCGGCCAAATCAAAATCGAGAATATCAGGCTGGTAACTGGATATCAATCATGAAACTTTATCTCTAGAATAGAAAATAAAAAATGAAAATTTTAACTTTTGAAATATTAATAAAGATTAATAAAGAAATTTTTCACTTTTCCCTTTTCATCCTAGAAAAGAAGTTTCAAGCGAAGAGCACAGACTCTTGCATAAAGTATAATTCATAGTTCATAAGGGAATCAACCAATCGAAAATTTTCTTTTCTATGGAATGGGAGGAAAGGAAAAATTCTGATTAGTTGATTCGTTTATGCACTATGCGTTATGCAAAAGGTTCTGCTACGATCTTTATTCCGAATAGCGCTAATTGGTTGTTTCAATGACGCATTCTCTATTTCGCAGCCCTTTTCTGCATCTTTCATTCTTATAGCTCTGGTGCGATTTCGTCACGCGCGACATCCAATGAGTGTGCAGCTTTACTGATGATTTTCTAAAGGTATACTCTCATTGAATATCGCGTGTCGCGCGCGATGAACATCGCGCTAGTGAGTCGGAGGCGGAAGTTAGTGCGATGTTCAATCAACGTTTCGCTTGCTCGGAAGTAATAGATATATAATTTCTACCGCATGACAAAAGTTCAACTCAATCCAATTTTTACCGCGCGGCGGAAGTAATATTACATTATTTCTAGAAATTTTACATAGTGAATCCGACTTAAGAACATAGAATTATTGGTTAGTGCGATAACTTCCGTCTCTCGGCAAGCGTTGCCGTATTCTGTGTACAGGAATCCTAAGGGTGAAATCACACGGTGTGGAAAATGACTGCGGTATAGAGAATGCGTCATTGAAACTACCAATCAGCGCTATTCCGCACTTTTTCATCACGTAAGTTTTGTGTGCTATGTTCACATGATGCCTCAAAGATGTATCCAGCATGAATATCATTTAAAAACTACTAACTTCGTGTTAATAATTTGCTTATTAAAATGAAATATAATTTTTCAAATTATACAAATAATATTCACTGTTGTAATACTTAATGTTTTACAATTAATATTTACAATCTCATAACAATTTTTTGAACTACTTTAACGCATTTACTATCATTTTTCCGCATCGTGTGAACATAGCACACAAACTGGCGTGATGGAAAAATGCAAAAAAGGGCACATTGAAATCGCATGTAAAACCGGTTCTACATTAGTTGCAAGCTGATTGTTGCGCAAGTTTTTTGCGACAGCCAATATGAAGCGTTGATTTCAAAATGCAAACTTCATATTGTTGCAATAAACTTGCGATCGGCTTGCAACTAATCGACTTAATGTATCATTGTTTTTTTTATCTTGGTATCTATATTTATGTACTCAAATTTGTCATTTTGCTTCATTCGTTTCGACATTACGCAATTCCATCATATCAATCAGCATCAAATTATTTTAACTTCTCAAACTACAACGGTTTATTACAAGAATAATGACGCACTCGCTATAATTTCCGCAATATCAAATGCAGAATATCGCTGAGTAGTTGTTTCAATGACGCATTCTTTATTCCGCACTGTGTGATTTTATCCTAAAAGTGAAATCACACAATGCGGAAAAGTGCTGCTTAATTAAGGCCACTACGGTTATGGAAATACAGAATTATAAACCAGCCCTTATTCCTGTTCCTATTATTTGTTTTATTGTGCGCAGGACCTTATGTTTTCTAGAGTATTTTGTATGTTCTAATACGGAGAGTAAGATAACCGCTTTATAGCTGTTTATAGCTTCTTATTCTTTCATTCTGTATGTGCATTTAATGCATCATGCGAGGAATAAATAATTGGATAAAAAGTACGTATCGATCAATGATGCAGAATTTATGCGCAAAGACTTTTAAATAAGCGAGTAAGTCTCTTTGCATTTTTATATTTCCAAGTATAGTTATAATATTAAATATTATTGTTTTGATATATATAATCTTCATTATTCTGAAAATTATTTTGTTTATATACATATATTTGTATTATATACTTTTATTTCACATTTATTGGTATTTTGGTTACATCAGCCTGTATATTATCGAGATAATAAAGTGAAACATTATGCTTTAAAAAAGAACTTTGGTAACATTAATCTAGCATTAAAATGTTTGTCAATTTATTAAAACAATAAAAACAGATTATTTCACATAAATTCAGGATTAATGATTGTGTTAGCTAATGTTTGCAGATATTTCTAAAATAATTGTGATAAATAAAGGTATTTAATAGTGAATTTGATTGGATGCATTCAGCACTGATGCGCATTAAAGCTGTGGTAAAGAAATTGATTGACATATAAAAATATGTTCAACGTAAATAGAAAAATGGATTAAATCATGAAATCCTCAATAAATTTTATTGTGCTGTTAGCTAAAATCTTCTATAATTTGAAATATTTGCATTTTGTACAGATTAAATCATTCTTCAACGGCTATATACACTGGTGTGCAGTAGTATATTGCGCTACAATAGTAATGCGCTATAAGTCAGATTTTATGTTTTGTACATTGAGGTGAAATATGCCTTTTACCTAATATTTTCTTAATAAATCTTTTAAATATTTAATTTCTATATTTATAAATTAAGTTTTTTTAATTATATATTTTTGTATATATTTTCAGGAAATATTAATTTATATTGTGCCACAATAAATAAATAATATTTTGTATTAAAATGTTTCCTAATATCCAGAAGAAGGACTATAGAGTCCTGGATTTAATACGTCAAAGAGAAATACAAGTGAGTTAAATAATTCTTGAATATTTTTAAGTATGTTTACTAATGTTTTACAATTGTATATAATTATGGATGTGTACAATGTAATATAGGACTCAGTAACACACATAATTTTACAAAAACTACATGTTACTGAAAATTTGATATCACGTCTGGGTTTAGAAAAAGAATTAAATGGTCATTCGGGATGTGTCAATTGTTTAGAATGGAATGAAACTGGGCAGTATGTATTTATTATCTATGTTTTTATTTAGGTATGATTTAATCAATGACTATGTATGAAATATATACATATTTTTTTTGTGCAGAGTGCTTGCATCAGCATCAGATGACAAAGATATTATATTGTGGGATCCTTTTCGTTATGAAAAAAAATTGGTACTTCATTCAGGCCATCGCGGAAATATTTTCTCTGTAAAAGTAAGTTAATATCAATCTATTTCTTCTGCATCGTTTATTGATTTATAACTTTATCAAATGTAATATCTTGTAAATATGGATTAGATGTCAAATAATTTTCAAGGCTTGTGTACATTATTACAAAAAAATATAATAGATTTTTTTAGAATTAAGCTTCTTACATTTTTGTAAGACTATGATTATTCAAAGCATTAAATTATGTTTGAGATTTCGCTTAAGATTTATTTTGATAATTGTACTTTGCTTTTAGTTTATGCCAAAATCAAATGACAGTGTACTGGTGTCAGGTGCAGCCGATTGTAGAATTCGAGTTCATGATCTTACACTCTCCGAACCAATATTTACGTGTAAATGTCACAAACAACGTATTAAGCGCATCGCTACCGTTCCCAGTATACCATTTTTATTTTGGAGCGCTGGAGAAGATGGTCTCTTTTTGCAATATGACATTCGTACACCGCATGTTTGCAAAAGTAATGATCACAGTGTACTTGTGAATCTGGTTTATCATACGGGTTGTTATGCAGAGGGCAAGTGCATTGCTGTAAACCCGAGGAAACCTGAACTAATAGCCATCGGTGCTAATGACGCTTACATCCGAATGTATGATCGACGAATGATAAAACTCTCGCAGGTGAGATTCCATTTATTCTTGATCGACTTTAACACTTAACAATAAATAATCATAAATAAAAAGCACTTTATCACTTTTTATGATTATTTACTGACTTAGAAGGGCACAGTTTTTGTCCATCTTAACAAATGCTTTTAATGCAATCCCATCATTTTGTTTTAACCAAATTGTCTTATTTATAAATGACACATAATAAAAATTAACATATCATTTCTTGCTTCTCGACTTACTATTCAATATAGCTATAGTGACTCGGAAATCTTAATGCTAATAACTTTTACATTATAACATTCTGGCCATGAAATTATAGGTTCCTCCATCTCCTTCTATACATGATAATTCAAATGGGGGAAATATTAGCACGTATCGAGCAGGTAAAGGTGATCCAGATGACAATATTCCACTGGGTAGTGCACAATATTTCATTGCAGGTTTGTTCCTACAGAGATAGCATAGTCTACTTCAGTTGCTATCTACTTTAGTTCTATTTTCCTTTTCAATATTACACAATCGTTTTAACCGAAAAATTATTCGATCTAATATTGTAGGTCATCTCCGCTCTCGTGATGGTACCAGGAGCATTACAACCACCTATTTGACATTCAGCGACGATGGAAATGAGTTACTCGTGAATATGGGAGGAGAACAAATTTATTTATTTGACATCAACGATTCGAACAGTTCGAAAAAAATTTTCGGTTCATCCTGGAGATCTCCAGGTAAGTAATGCTATTGTTTTTGTTGTATGTATATATAGATGTATGTATAATTAGAATTACTATTCTAATGAATGATAATCCACTTTTTAATAGGATCAATTGAGCAAGATCAAAGACTTGATGAATATTATATGAAACAGAATGATGTAGACGAAACAGGAGATTTTGTAGATAAAAATGTAAAGATATTGCCACCACATGTTGAAGAAATAAAGCGCCTTGTAAGTTTGTACAGTCATTCCTTATGTATATATTAAACAAAAAAATTAATATTTAGCATAAATAAATATTTTTCGTAATAAAATTTTATTTTATTTTTTTTTATACTAGCCCTCGAATGTTGAATTTATCTCTAAACATTTTTTATCTATTTTTATGAGTTTATATTTTTTTGAATTATGGATTTCATGTTTGATGATAGTTTGTAATATATATTCCGTTATATTTAAATATAAAAATATTTTAATTTTTTGATATTAGTAGAATATTTAATATAATGCTTTTTATGGTCAACAGGCAAATGAAGGCTTTGAGCAGCAGAAATATTCATTAGCAATTAATTTGTATAATAAAGCAATTTCAAACTGTCCAACTGCAGCAGTATTGTTTGCTAATCGAGCAGCTGCTTATATGAAACGCGCTTGGTAACTATTCTCGCTCATAACAGTATGTATAAGATAAATAATTGTTAAATTATTATATGTACGTGTATATAAGTGTACATAATTATGATATTCTTAGGGATGGTGATATTTATGCTGCTTTACGAGATTGTAAGACAACATTACTTCTTGATCCAGAACATGTAAAAGCTCATTTTAGGTAAACTTAACATATATTGGTTATAATTGAAGAATTTGAATATTCAACTACCATAGATAGTTCAACCATAACTGTATGAAATGTATTTTTACAATATTAATTACAATTTATATTAAAAAAAACGCATTTATTCATATTATTTGAAGTGGTTTAATACATCAATATATTCTCAATATACGAGTATATTTCAATATGAAATTTTATATTTTAATAGATAAATATACACTAATGAAATTTATTAATATAATTCATTGTTTGTACATGTGTGTAGATTGGCACGTTGCCTATTTGATTTAAATCGATCAATTGAAGCAGACAAGGTGCTCAAGAGTTTTAAACAAAAATTTCCAGAATATGCATCTAATTCAGCATGTAGAGCGTTAAAGATGGACATAAAGGAAGCTATCGATGCCGGTAACACTATTTAATTTTATCATTTTTCTATATAAAAATACTTTATAATATACGTGTATAGGATGCTTACTTTAATTAATTTCAATCAGTTTAAAAAAAAATCAATATTTTACGAGATATTTATTATTTTATTTTTCTGGCAAATTTGAACACAAAATATAAAATATCTCGTAAATTATTATTTTTTTTTTATTACCATATCTTAATATTTTTATGCATAGAATAATAAGAATCACTTAATGTAAAATTTGCGCATCTTTTTTGAAAACCAACAATGTGTTTCCTTTACGCCAATTGAGCGTAAAAATAATTCACCAATTGAACTATCTCATTATTCTACATAAAAATAATATACAGTTACCAAAAAATAATTTACAAAATATTTTAAATTTTATGTCAAAATTTGTCACAATAAAAATCCACATCTCTTTTAACATGTAATTACTAAAACAGATAACAGCTAATTATTTAAGTTAATATTGCATAAATCATTATTTTAATTATATTTACAATTTTAATGTACATAACATTCTCAGCTTCAATACAGGATATGCTAATAGGAACAAGCTTAACATCTTGTGGTATTACTGAACTCACATAAATTCACACACATAATAGGAACAAACACAGTAATATTTAATAATGTAATGGAAACAGTTACCTTATTATTCGTTATATGTCATATTTTTTTCTGCAAAGTGTATGCAGATAACGCATAATAAGAAATCATAAATATAATATTGACTTATCTGAATATTTATATAATCGAAGCAATCATAAAATGTTGACTATTTAATTATTGTTGAATCCACTTAATAATTCTATAATAAAAATGTATAGACTTAGATAAGTATTTTATCATTGCTGATACTTATTATATTGTTATTATTTAAAAAATTAATTTTAACGCATTTTATCTACTAGGAAAAGATATCACCCAAACTAGGCAGACATTCCTTCCACTATCAGAATATGAACAAGAATGGAGGCATAATACAATCGACTACAAAATGAGATTCTGTGGACATTGTAATACTACAACTGACATAAAAGAAGCCAACTTCTTCGGAAAGTAAATAGATTTGTAAACAATGATATAATTATAGTGATTAATTTCATTTTTTCCAAAATCTACATTATTTGCATAAGATTAAGTTAATCATTGTAATATTATCTTCTTTTTTAAGTAATGGTCAATACATAGTAGCTGGGTCAGATGATGGTTCCTTTTTTATCTGGGATCGTAATACTACCAATATCGTACGTGTGCTGCGAGGAGACGAAAGAATCGTTAATTGTTTACAACCACATCCATCTATGTGCTTGTTAGCTACTAGTGGCATTGATCCAGTGATCAGATTATGGAGTCCATGGCCAGAGGTAAATCATATTTTTTATTTTATTATTGTTTATTGTATATTTATTGTGTTATTGTTCGGTTAGATATACAGCCATCCCTTTTTATTTCGTAAATTAACAGACACAGACCTAATAAATATAATATTAAATTACATTCTAATTACATTCATTACAAGTATAGTAATCACTTAGAAAAGTTATCTATGTTAGAGAACGGAGAGATATACATACTTTTTGCACGTAAAATAAATGATACGATGTAATAAAAGTTTTTCTAACAGCTAACGGTGTATAAATATTGGGTCATCTAAAAAGTATCCGCGGTACTTTGTCACTAGATATATGACCATCAACACACATCTAGTGACAAAAAACCACGGATACTTTTTAGATGACCTAATATGTAAGATATAACAAAATGATTATCCAAATTATATAAATTATTTTGGTTAAAAATTTTGTGGCCAACTAATGACTTTTCAATTTCGATCCTGCGATGTGGCTAACTTTTGAGATAAAGTTCCATGAGGCGTATTTGCCAGCGTAACCAATCACTAGTCAGTAAAACACGAAACCTCAACAGTGATTTCAATTGCTTCTGGGCCTCTTCTTGAAAAGAAACATATACAAAAAAAAGTCTAGGGAAATACTACATATACATATTATTTTACTTATAATATTTTACTAGAATTTCGTATGTTTTTTTTTTTCAAGAATAGAGGACTTGATTACGCGATACGTGACAAAATACACCTCATGAGACTCTAGCCCGACTCTCGACGATTGACGATTAACATATTAACATGTTGTCATTTGATCAATGATTATCATGCTTGCAATGGAGTTTAATTAGAATCGTTAAATTTAAGGGATACATCTAGGTGAACGCCTGAAAACATAGGGTAGCTTTGTGAATTTTGTATAGTCAAATAATAAAATGAAATTCGGATTGAAAGCCTTTAATGTACATATAAGGACACAAAACAATTTTTGCTTAATTTTGTTGTGTCAAGATGGCGGCGCTGAAGCTTTGCAAGTGAGACTGCATTTTTCTCATAGGCCTCTGGGATTTGCAGCAGAAGTGCCGTATATTTTCACTAAGAGCAAAAAATAAAATTTTTTTATAATCTACTTAAATTTGCTAGAAAAGTACACACCTATATATTAAAATATTAGGTTTGTTCGTGTTGCATATTCCAACATGCTTCAACATATATTCTTACCATAGCTTCTACTTACTCTAACAAGCGCGTTGGAATGAGTAGGAGCTACGATTGGAAGAAGTAGGAGCATATTAGAACATGCGACGCGAACAAACCTATTGATTTTTGTAGAAATGGTGAACAGTGGCTACAAAATTTTCACCTAAAAAATTCAATAAAAAAATATTTATAACAAAAAAATTTTTAACCGATCGTAAAAATCATGTGTTAAATTTTCTAGAAAATTTAGTTTAACAATTGCTGTAAAAATTTCAAGTGGATCGGATAACGTTTGTTAAAGTTATGCTGCAAGCCAATTAGAAAAACATTTCGAGAAAAACGTGTTTAAAGTTTTGAGTAACATTATTTCATATTTAATTGCAGAAATTGTTAATTTACCTTTAGTCTACGATGTCTACATCATACAACTGTCCTTCCGCATTGATATTTACTTCCTCTTCCTCCTTTCTGAAGGATGTGGAAGCTCTACGAGCGTTCTTAGTGGCATCTATAAGCGAGCACTCGGCAAACTTGACGCGGCGCGCGTCAGCATTGAAAAAGAGATTATAGCAATTATGGCCTATAGTTGTAACATAATTGCATAATTTTCATTATACTTGACAATCCATCATTGAAAATGCAAGTTGCAGCGCCCTGATGAAAATGTAAAGTTTGTCGAAGCATCAAAGAAGTGTGAACAAAGAATTTTAACGTTTCTTAAACACTTCATTGACTTTCCATTGACTCTTAGTGTGAATATAAAAAATCGCACAGATTAAGACGTAGCATTGAAAGATTTTTCAGTTGTGTTCTAATGAAATAATCTTTTGAAGTGAGCCCTAGATTTTCAAGAAGAAAGCATAGCACTTTTTTTTAGATATTTACCGAATAAATGAAATATATTTTAAAATATTATTTGCTTGCCAAGGACCTCGATTATATTTCATTCACGTTCGTCTAAGAATTCGACGATGCTCCGTTTACGTTCTCTAGACTGCCTAATCACTCTCCGTTTACATTTAATGGACATTCTACTCATACTCACCGAAGAATTTATCTATACTTTTATTTATGTTTCTTTAACGTTTAATTGACGCTTCCTTTATGTTTCATGTTCCAATTTTCGCTTCTTACGAGTTTCATTTATGTTTCTGTTATTCTCTCCTCACACTTCCTTTACACTCCAATTAACGCTTTATTGACACTCGCTTTACGTTTTATTTTCATCAGGTCGATTATTTTTTTGCTACTTGAAGACGTTTTCGGAGCGACCACACAATTAAATTAACTAAAATCCTTGCTTCCTGCATGTCCTATCGCCAGATACAGTAATTCTAATATGTCCTTTTACTGTCGATAGTTTCTTTCCCTCTTCAGCTAGTTTCTTAAAACATTTCGAATTAACATCGATATTATGTACCTACAGAACGCAAAAACCTTAAACTGTTGCACGCTTCTTCGATACGCTTAGATAGCGTCACACTGTGCTTTAAAAAAAACCGCTGTAAAACCACTTAAAAAAATTTTTTTACGTATAAGACCAATTGAATTTTATTTTTAAGACTGCATCATTTCAGATAAAATTTTTTCGATTTTTTGAAAATTTTCACTTAAATGTTATCCCTTAATTTAATTTATTAGGGCTGTGTTTCCAAATTCACAGCCAGTGCTGAAAATGTATAGTATACGTAACATAAACTATAGATTTTTAGCAGAATTTTGGAACATAGTCTACTTTTGTTAGTATACGTCTATACGAGATGAAAAAAGGATGGCCACTTACACCCTGTGTATAAGAACCTTGGGGAAAGAAATTGCTGAAATTGTTAGAATCAACAATAAAATCATTGAAATGAGAAGTGAAAATCACTGAAATATTGTTGAAAATATTAAATTGTGTGATACTTTTAATATTGAAATACTATGATAATTTTAATGATAATGAAAACTAATGTGCAAATATATTTAATATTCATATTAATTTATTCAGAGATATTTAACATTGAATTGTACTGAAATATACCATGAATCCTAAATTATTGAAAATGCGTAGAAAAAAATGAAACGCGAGATACAATATATAATTTTTACAATTTATTGTATCTGAAATATACTGAAATACTATAAATTCTAATGATTTTTGTATGTATGAACATTTTTTTTAGATTGATAGAAATAGATGATGACATACGTCAAAATGTAGAGCTTGAGATCTTAATTAATTGGTATTTTATTTATTAATTGGTATTTTATTAAAAAATATTGATAAATTTTTCGAGTTATTCGAGTTACTGTATGATACGTCGATGCCAAACTAGTTAATATATTAACTGGTAAGTAACAAAAATCGATTTTTTTTCCTCCCATCAAAAAAATCAAAGAGATTCTGAAAATAGATATAAAAAAACCCGTGTCTCGGCGTTTTACCAGATCAAGTCATTAACGTTTTTTGCAGCCATTTATCATATTTGCTTTATATAGGCTTTTTACAATTGTTTTAAATTATATAATTTTTAAAAATAAATAATTTACGTTTTTGAAATTATATGATGAGTCCGAATATTAAAAAAAACAGAATTATTTTTTTCATATATTTTCAAATTTTTGTATAATGAATAGTGACAAAAAATAATTCTCAGTTTTTTTTCACATGCAAAAACGTCAATTATTTATTTTAAAAAATTATTATATAATTTAAAACAATTGTAAAAAGCCAATCTGAAGCAAATACGATAAATGGCTGCATAAAAAATGTTAACGACTTGATCTGATAAAAAGCCGAGACACGGATATTTTTTTTACATCTACTTTCAGAATCTCTTCGATTTTTTCATGGGAGGGAATATGTGTTGTACTGTGATATCAGTCATTTCTATCTTATGAGAAATTTGTCGAACATCAATTTTGAAAAAAAATATTACAAAAATTTTACAAAAAAAAATAGTGACATAATACTCATTGCTATGTGGCAGATTGTTTCACAATACTGTAAATTCATGGTATTTAACGGCACAATCCTAAATCGCTGGCTTCAGTTTGCACAAAAGATTTGAATTTAGAAAACTTTTGATATTCCGTTATTGTTATTGTTGGATGTACCACTATATGATTGAAATTTTAAAGAAAAATTCCACTTCAATTGATGATATATTTTAAATAAACCTGTATAAATTCTCATATTTATTTTACACATATACACTCACACCGATGTTACAGTGTATTTTATACATATACACAATAGGAAGACATAACGCACATACTATAATTTACGGATATTAATAAATTTTAAATTTATAGAATTAAATAAAAACTTATTTAACACAAAGGACAGCATGTAAAATATTACAAATTCCATTCAATTTAAATTTGATGTTACAGGATGGTAGTGTGAATGAAAGAGAAATTCAGAATCTAGATGATGCTGCATCAGCCAACCAAATACGCATGAACAGTGATCCATTTGAATTAATGCTCATGAACATGGGATACAGATTTCCCGTCCCTCAGCACGAATTTAGTGATGAAGACAGTGAAGATCAGCATGATCAGCCGATAACACAAGCTTTAAATTGTAGACCAAGTTAAATTTTGCAAGAAACAGAGAAAAACATACTAACAGTGGCTAGATAATTGAGAATTTACATACGTATTATATCTGTCACAAAATTATTTCAATCTCAATTATTTATTTTCTTCTTTCACAAATGTATCTCAAAGCACTTTTGTTGTATAATAATTTATTCAGTCAAAATATCTTTGTCAATCAAATCAAAGACGAAGTAGAAGCTTATTTACTAGGCATTGTGGATATGTTGATAACAAATAGCGAAAAACTTAATAAGAATTATATTCCGAGTCTTATAAGATGTAGTTAATAATATATCATATTATATTTCTTTGTACAAAATGATTTATTTTTATCCCCTATGGTAAAAAAGCTGCACTGACATAATTATCTTGAATTTATATGCATAAAAAAATCAAAAATTATTAATATGTTAATAATAGAAAATTTAGTTTTTTATTTTTTTAAGAAAATAAAATTTATTTTGCAAGAAAAATATTCTTTAATAATGTAAAGTACGATCTTCGCATGTTTAAGCTACACAGAGCTTTCTTCTGAGCCAGAGCGTCACGTGAGCGCTCGACGACCCGGCGCCTGGCTGCTACGTCTCAAGCAGTAGTGGGGAATCGGCTCAAAATATGCATCTAATGCCGAGCATTGCTTTAAATCATTAAATATTGTTAAATTTTATTAATGCATATAAACTCAAGATAAATTATATGTCAGTGCAGCAGACGCTCCTGAGCCAGAATGGTCATTCTGGCTCAGACAGACTGACCCAGCCGCCGAGTCTCAAGCGGTAGGGGATCGCTCGCCGGAATTGGCTCGAGATATGCATTTAATGCCGAGCACTGATTTAAAGAAATCAATTAACAGATGATGGTACAAGTTCCCATAAATTCTGTAATGTGCTGCCTTCTCTTGGCTCTTCCGTCGCAAGTCCTAAATGAATCGAATAATTTGGCTTTCTTTGACTTGTTTCTCTCTCAGAGAAATAATAACCAAATATATTTGATATTTCAGCTTGATTATCTTGTATCTCAGTGAAGTGTTCTATACTAATCTCTTCTTGCACAGGTGCCTGTAATGGCAAGGATACTTGATTATTATTACGTTGGACAAAATTTATTGATAATTAAATTTTAATAACTTGTAAGATTTTACAAGCTTTAAAAAAAAACATTTTGAGACAAATTTAAGATGCAATTAAAATTTAATTATAATCAGGTTATGAGCAGAGAAAAAAATAACACTCAAACATTTGACTTTTATTTACTTTTGACTAACAATAAGATGAACTTCAGTTTCTCTATGACATCGATAAAATATAAGACACCCCAGTAAACGAGAATGGATTGAAATGGATTCAAATTTTCAGAAGTACACATTCGCGAACATTAAAATAAATATTTTTTGATCCAAATGCATTTTTATTCATTCATAGGAATGGCATGAAGCACATTTTATTCAAATGATTCAAGAGAATAAAATAATGAGAACTAAATAGATAAGATTAAAAAAAAAAGAATAATAAAGAGAATAAAATTAAACAAAAAAAAGTTCTTTTTTTATTCAATTGGATTTAATGAGCAAAATACGCATAAAAATTTCAATCCATTTTAATCCATTCTCGATTACTGGAATATTAATTTCAATATCAAAATACCTGATGCTCAAATGTATATTCCACACCAAAAATAGGAAATTTTTCAAATTCTGAACGGAGTATTGATATTTCTTTGTATGTAATGTGAAGCTGTTGCAAAGGATTAACGCGAAAACCTAAGATGTATCCTCCACTGGCTTCTGTACTTAAAATTACTAAAGTTGGTCCAAATTTCGATGTCCTTATAGTAATCTAAAAAAATTTATTTATATGATACATACATACAATTTTTCATATTTCGTAGATTTTTTGTTATTAAAAATATTAAATATAACATAAGATATATATACATATAAATACATATACGTATATATATACATATACGTATAAAGTACAAGACGTCTCTAGATATAATTAAACATCATTTTAAATTATAATAGTAATAAGGCTCAATAAATTAAACAAACAGAAAGAAAAGCTATGAGTCTAAAACAATTATCATAAAATAAAAGAATTTGGGTCATTTTAAATCATTGCTAAACAATATTATCATAAGCAGTCGTTACAAATCGGTAGAAAACGTGAAAATGTAACAAAATTTTCATCATTTTTATATTAAAATTTGCTACAGCAAAAGAAAAAAACTTTCGATTTGTCAGAGTCATATTAATGTCATCTATATATTTCTAAACAAAATTATATGAATTTTTATAGATAAATCAATTTCTCTCCGTATTATGCACATAAAAAATAAATAACATTGTGTAATATACTTCAATTATCATCATTATTATTAAGGCGCAGGTACAATAGGAATTCGTAACGGGGGTTGCCAGATATATAATACGTAAAATCGCATACAGAGCGCGCTCAAGTCACCCAAAATCACAAAATATGACAAATGTGCTATTTTTTTAAAATGAAGCGTTGAAAACAGTGTAGCAAACAAAATAAAATGTAAATTTTATGTTATATTGGATCATCTAAAAAGTATCCGTGGTTTTTTATCACTAGATGGTGTTGATGGTCAACACATCTAGTAACAAAAAACCGGATACTTTTTAGATGACCCAATACATATACAATATTTCCTTACGAATCAAAGAAAATCATAATGAGAAAAAAAAATTGTTGAAAATTTTACCAAGCCTTGATGTTTAGTGAAAGAAAATTAAATATTTCTATTAATTTTTTCATAAATATGTAAAAGTAATAAGAATATTATCCATAAAAACTAAACGAAGAATTATGTTAAAATTTACCTTTCAATTTCTTTTTTTTTTGCAATTTTCTGTATACTTTCGCGAATATACTTCTCCCATTTTCCTGCATTTTCAAATAAATGACACCAATAGATAATAAAATTCCATAATAAATCCCTAAAGGAAAGGATCATTCATTAAAGGTTGCTTTCTTTTTGCAAAGCACAAAATGCGATCGAAAGCCCAGAGAATTTAACATGAAAATTCTAACTATGTATTTCATGTGCAATAGGCTTAAACAGGGAGCACAGACTTTTACATAACGCATAAAACAAGAGACATAAGAAAATCAACCAATCAGAGTCCTTCATTTCACGGAAAGGAAGGAAATAAAGCACTTTAATTACTTCATTTTCTTATGCCTCATGTTATGTATTATGCAAGAGTCTGTGTTCCTCGCTTTACATACCGCATAACACGTAATAAGAAATTCAACCAATCAGAATTCTTCATTTCATAGAAAGGAAAGAAATGAAAGATATTGATTGACATTTTCTTATGTATTACGTATTATGTGTTAAGGCACAGTATAAATACATATAGTATGATCACTGAGCGTTGGCACCTTTAATATAGTAGGTCACATGACTCTCCGCCATGTTATGAGTTGGAAACGTGCTTATAAATTTGAATTTTTATAAAGTTACAGAATAATTTTTGTAAAAAAAAAGACATAATTCGGTCGTGTCATACAAATCATGCAAATATTGTTTATATTGAATATATTTTTAAATCAGAATTATATTGGGTCATCTAAAAAGTATCCGCGGTTTTTTGTTTTGTCACTAGATGTGTGTTGATGGTCATATATCTAGTAACAAAGTACCGCGGATACTTTTTAGATGACCCAATATTAGCTTTTTCTGTGCACACAAACACAATTATGAATACTGTTCAATTCAAAATTTTGAATAGGAAATGTAGTTTTTCAATCCAATTGCATCCAATTGAATCTAATTGAATCCAATTGAATCCAAAAAAAGTATTCGCTATTTATATATAAAATACGCATTCGGATAGAAAAAAATTTCAATCCATTTTAATCCATTCTCGTTTGCTGAATAAATACTATATGAAAATTGTAATTGAATAATTATATATGAAAAAATAATATATTGAAAATTGTAATTAAATGTGAAATTGTAATTTAATAATATATGTACACAAATGCTTTATTACAAAAATACTTTATCATATACAAATATAACAGTCTACACAATATAGTGTCTCTGAAAAAATTTGATTTAATTTTTTAGTAAAACTTAATTTTATTAACCCTTTACCCTACTTTTCTCTTACAAATTAAAAAAAAATTAAACTTTGTACGAACGACATACCATGGCTCTCACTCGTGATACTCATGTTTGGCTCGATTTCTTTACGAGTCTCACACGATATTGTAGGCGAAAGGATTAATTATATTTTATGGGAAGGAGATCTAGCTAATCTAACCTAACTTAACCTGCAATTTCAACTTACTGAAAACAACCATATTCCTGGTTGGAAATCGACGCATGCGCACTAAAAATTGGAGATCACATAAAAAGTTCAGTGTCGATACTGTATGTACTTACTGTGGTTAAGGTACAATTTCATGGTATCGCAGCGATAAATGATCACGTGACCGAATTCTCCCTCAAGTTTTTGTTTACTTTCTTGTCGCCAGCGACACTGTTGAAAAGTTAGATTAATCCAACTTTTAGCGACATCGCTCTTACGCAAAGATTTAAACATGGAACAGCAGGATGTAAGTATAATAAAAGTATTTACTTAAGCTATATTCTAAAACAACTTTTCCGAGGAAAATTTTACTCGAAATACATAGGACGTGTAATGTATACTACAATATTTCGAACAAAATTTTCCTCGGAGAGGACGTTTTGGAATATAGCTTTAGAATATGAATGTCATCGCAAAACTTGATAAAAATATATTAATTTGATACATTTCCATTCGAAATGAGAGAATGTAGTAGAAAAAAATGCGACAGTTTGCCTTACAAAGCGACTATTTTAGGTTAGGAAAATGTTTTTTTTTACCTGAACAATTATTAGAGCGTAACATAAATGTCATCTGACCAATGGCGAGTATCTCCATGTATTATCTTATATTCAATGTATATCTAGAAAACTAACGTGGTTCTAATATTAAAACATATAAA